TAGAGCTATCTTCCGCAATACATGAAAAGATGAGGGGAAACAAATATATCCAACTCCGGATCATTGATTTTGGACCGAAAACTTCAAATAAGCGACTTGAATTTTAAACAATACTTATTTAGCATCGGCACATATGAAATCTTTTCTACAAGGTCATAAACTATTTGCTAAAATAGAAAATTGGGATAGCAATTAGATGCAGGCAAAATTAAGATAAATATCATTGTAAAAATAAAAATTGTCAGATTTTCGATTCTCATAACAGTGAAATAATTTAAATTTACTGTCAAATTTATTCCACGAGGTACGTCGAACGATTCTACAGCATATTCCAGCTGTGAACGAGCTGCAGCTGCAGCTTCAGCATTCTGAGCAAATACCTACAAGTCATTCATTACCTGAGCCGAGTTCACCTGAATTTTCTCGATGACAAATAACTTGGGCTTTTCTCCGGGACGCAAATAACAGGAGCGTGAATAATAGCCATGAGCCGTAATTCATGAACCGCTTGATACATAGATTGCTGCTAACCTTGAAAAGTACTGGAGTGTGACCATCATTGCTCTCCACGAGCTGTATATCTTCAACACCCTCAATGTTCCGTGCGCTCTGGATATTGGCTCCGTGTGATCCTATCGCAAGACCCATCAAGTCAAACGGAACCGTAAATTCTTCAACATGGGCGGACGTATGCATCGATGTGTTTTCTAACAAACGAGCAGCTTCCTGAATGGTATTTATCCATCATAACTAAAGCAATCCTTTGTTTGCTTTCCTTGTTGGGTGCGTATAAACATAGGCAAATGAAGTATTCTCAATGTGCTTCTTAACGACTTGCAGGCTTACAGGAAACTTCGAGCAATCGAGTAATATTCATTGTCCTGTCCGTACTTAGGAATGGTTCATGAATCGCTGAGGCCACTTATACCAAGTTTATGAAATATGCATAACATCCCAAATTCCTTCAATCTCAGCAACAAACCACTCTTATTAATGGCTATTATGGATATGAAAGGAAGACAAAATAGACGTTTTGTACAAGTTATCGAAAAAAACCTCATGACGCTGTAGAAGTTGCATTTTCTGTCGAGAATCCTTGAAATACATATCGGAAAGAATTGTGGCGCGTTTTACTGCTTGTTCTTCAAATGTCTAAAACCATGAAGCTGTAAATTTTGTAATTCCCAGAATAACAACATTTGGACAATAAAGATTCATTATTTCAGTCATTACACAAACCATTCGACTGTTAATCAACCCCCATTAGTTTGTGCAACATGACACTTTTCGGACACAACTTTCTTCTAAATATTGTTGAAATAATTTCGTCACCACTGCCCAAATAAATTTATGTAGATATAATACGGCGTTATTGCACAGTCCAAAAAACAACTAACGGAGAGAAGGAGATTTCCATTCTCTTCATCATACTCGACAAAAACACTTTTGACAGTGGCCGCGAAATCAGCATATGACTCAGGTCGTTTGAAATATGTCCGGAGATCTTCAGGTACAGTGATTTTTGCATGTTTGAATTGACTTTGTTTCAGTGGGGTACATTTGATCGACAACGTACGTATATGTTCCAATGATACAATGTCCATACGGTGTGGTCCTTCAACGCTCTCAATTGCTGCTAAATCTCCCTAAAATTTGTCAGGAAGTTCAAGTCATCAAAAAAAAAAATTTAATTCTAGTTCTACCTAATATTTTATTTGATAGAATCCACTGGAATTCCGTTCGCAAGTACTTCTGTAGAAACCTGGACATTCCAATGATTTATTTTGATAGTGTAATAAGCAAAATAAGGTCTTCACCTTTAGTTCCTTGATTTTGGCTTTCTGCCAACCGAAGATAGCATCACCTTCCTGCTTCATCAGTGCTTCAACGGTATCACCCACCTTCAACGCCTCAGCTTTTGCGGAACGCGGTGGCAAGCGACAGTCATCGAATTTCACCTAAATTTATTGCAAATAAATTCTCATTAACTCTATCGCCTTTTCCAGTTACATGCAGAATTACTTCTAAAACTCGGCAGATAATTAGTCAATTAAAAAATTCATGGACATACAAAACTTTAAAAAAGGTGAAACAAACTTCCTCGGTTTTCGCGTCGTTCCCATAGCTCACTACGACAGTATCTGTTTTGATGGACTTCACGAAGGCCTGCAAAAAAGGATCGAAAGTTTCGGAGCAGTTATTCAAATTATTGTTAAAGCCTCACGCAAGGACAATGACTTTTTAAATCATCTACTATAGGACTGAGTAGCATTATCCTTTGCTCATCATAACCATCTTGTCTTGGAGACTAAATGGCATCGATTTACTGACAAAGAGAAATTTTTGCAAAGTACGGTAAAGTTGATAAAATGACATAATGGAAGGAATCGGATAAGATATGAGTTCCCAATCAAAATGGCAAGTCGAAAACATGAAACCGTAAGCAGCAACCATTAAAAATTAGGAGACACAGAACAAAAAACAAGTCGCTAACCGGCCGAATAGTGTTTTTCCATGAACCAAGCAGTTAATTTTACTATCCTAGATTCACTGTACACCATTTACAACTGTGTGGGAAACTTTACACAGTGTATAGCCAGATCCACCCTGTCCAGGAATGAGTATATGATGACGGGATAAACCACAAAAAATTTTCAAAAGGTACTGATCAAAATGCCTCAATATCTGTCCCATCAAAGTGACTATTACGCAAACCATGGATACTGACCAGTACGCAAACCATAACAAAACCCCCCAACAAATCAACATGCTAACCTTATAAAATAAGCCGTTGCCTTGTCGTACTTCAATTTCCATCGTTTATTTAAATCAGCGATTTGACTTCTGTTGTTGTCACGCACTCTCACTCTTTCTCAACCTGTTTGGCCAATCAATCGATATTGATCAATACCTATTGATCTATCTATCAGGTGGTATATTCTCCACCGGTTATTTTTTTCCAAATCCGACAAGTCCAAATCCGGTAGAATGGCAAAAAACGAGCCGAAGCTCAGCGACAACGACCCAACCGCTCTCTGCCTGCTCTGCTCGCAGCAAGTGCTTTGCCCTATCACTCTCTATATCCTTTGCAAACACAGACATGCAAAGCAACGTGCAGACACATCCAGATATGCATGCATCCGCAGACACAAAGAGATACGCATGAACACTAAGATAGAGAGGTGGGAAAAGACGCGCAGACAGAAACTCACTCCATTCTCTGTCGCTACAGAACTCAATCGATTAAGCGACGAGGCAACAAGCGACATCGTTTGACGACGACCGCTACACAACGGCTGGGAGAAGCTTAGTTGGATTGACTAGGTAGTAGTGCGAGGGTGGGTTTATCTGGTATTTTGGTTCGCGGGTAGTATAGGTCATTGGATGTGTATAGATCATCGGCTACAAATCAATAATCCATCCAATACCGCAAGATCGCATTTTGCTTTTGCTTGCTGTTATCAATGCTTTTCAATTAGGTAAACCTTCGTAAATGTCGTCGTTGCACTCGCTTCAATTAGTATCGTGTGATGGCTAAAAACAGTTCGAAGTTGACTGTCTGATTGTTATCAGTTTTTGGGATGGTTAATTAAACTATTATCGGATAAGAAGGAGAGACTTGAAAAGCTTCATGTGACACTACACTAAAGGTTTAGTTACGATTTGGGATAGATAATTAAGTATCGATGGCATTTAATGAAATATGATAATTTAAGGAAATTTGTCGTTTCGATGGCGTTACCAGAATCATGTGCCTCTGTTTCGAAGTATCCATCGAAAGATTCTCTCAGAGAGAGATTCAGAATGTTGCACCAAAAACGTGTGAGTTGGAATTGATATTTTAACACAGTAATTAATTGTCAATCTGAGCTCTTTTGAATAATGATCAGCCGGTAATGTGCAAAAAAGTGAATTTAAAAGAAAAACAGTAAAATCGGATTGCCCAAACTTTGAGTGTCTTTTAATTCTAAAAGCTGCAAGAGTGTAGTTTTT